TATATATATATATATATAATAGCTCCAAAATATAACGTAGCATTGAGGTACATTTGATTCACGACAATGGGTTTTTCATGCATGTTGGGTTCTAATCTTTGAAAACAACCACCAAATCTAATTCTCTCTCACAATTTAAAAATCAACAATCAAACTTTTGCATGCCAATCATAATAAATCATAGTTAAAAAATAAAATATGCATATTTTTTTTAATGTGTAAAGTGGTCTTTCCTATAAAGCAAAAGCCTCTTAACAATTGATTCAACAAAAATCTCTGTCTTCTCAGATCAGATTAGCAGCTTTTCTGCACTATGTGTCAACCATAAAATTCCCTTAGCTCTTATTTACATTGTTCGAAACAAGTGATCAATATATTGCACCAAAAGCAACAATTCAGTCAAGAATAATTACAAAATTTCTGCAAAAATAGGTGTATCTTCACAAAATAAGTCAAAACACATATTTCATTTAGTTAAAAAAAAAATAATAATAACCAAATGTTTCCTATAGTTGCTCACTCCCAGAAGAATCTATAAACAGTCTGTCAGCAATTTACATACAAAAACCTACAACTTCAATAAGGTAAATTTGATCAGTGGAATTCAACACAAGAACCTTGAAAGACCTTTGGGTTGTACCATTGAAGCCCCTCAATGCCTTCTTGTTTATGAATTTGTACCCAACAAAAGCCTTGATCAAATCATCTTTGGTAAGGAATCATTGTGATTTTTTATTTTTTATTTATAAACATGCTCATGATTTTTTTGACTCTTTGGTTTTATAGTGCTATCCTAGCATTATCACCTAATAAAGCCAATATATATATATATATATATTTTTATGACCGATGTTCGGACTAGTTTACACGCACCTCAAATTAATAGCCAGAAGAGAGTTGCCATCTCCATTTAAAAATTGATAATTATTCCAAGACATGGACATGCAGAAAACAAATTGTTCCATTTCTTAAACCACATAAAACAATCTGTCCCTGCAACAAGAGATGAGTTTGTTACATTGAAATCATATAGTGATAGTCAGTTTACCACAAGCAAAGGTCATGTAATGATAATAGATAAACAATTATCAAATAAAAAATGTAATGATAATAGATAAACAATTATCAAATAAAAAATGTAATGATAATATATAAAAGTACAGTAATGTCATTTATAAATCTTGAGATGAGGTCAATATCTACCAAGGAAAAAGTTGTTGACTAGATTATGCAAGGCCTGTTAACTGTTGATGTGCAAATTCTGAATTACATATTAGTGCCACATGGAACCTAATGGAATTAAGATTTTAGTCAAGTAAGTTTTATGTCAAGTTTTCTTTTAAGTTAATGTGTTGCAAAGTTTGCTGACAACCCACAGGGTTGTCATTTGTTAAGTTCATCAGGACCTGCCACAAAGAGGATAGTACAAGTGTTGACAATCATCACATGAATCACAACCACGTCAAACAGATTCTCAATAAAACACATTTTTAGCCACTCCATTGCAGATGCTCTCATCTTTTCTCCAACTTCTATATTTCAATATTCTATTTGACATAAGTAAAACCAATAATATAAAAAATATTTGGAACTGATGGGCAGCTTAGTTGAGTCGGTCATTACAAATATAGTTATATTTCCCCTGGCTGCCATTTTAAAATTTTACTCCTTTGAGCAGTATATTAGAATCTTTTAATATCACCACAAATCCAGATGAAAATTCCTCAAAGCAAACTTCTTGAATCATTCATGAGAAGCCAAATTACAGAATAATTATCAACATAGTGGTTTGCAAAGGGGATTACACTTACTTCCAGATCAACTGATGTTCTGCTTTATCTGCTGATGCATACACAACCTCAGCATCACCAGGTCGCTGCCCAACAAACGTCAGGGGAATTATCTGGAACAAGCATGAAAAGAAAATTATGGCTCTTGTCCACATAAACGAGAATATGTCAATGTTTAATAACAAAAATGCCAGTTTTCCTTTTTTTCATTGTCCATTTATGATGCCTAGAGTAACCTTTTGTTTATCTTTTTTCCTTTCTCTTCCTGATGAATACCTAATACTAGGTGGTACATTGACCTTGGACTCGGGGTGACCTTTGGGAGGAATCACTTGATGTACATTTAAAAAGACATTCACACATCATATATGATTCTGTTGTTATCCACAGAATTCGAAATGTAACAGAGGAATAAATGGTCTATGAACCAAAGCCTTGTTTGGTTTAGATTTCACCAGACTTCACATCTGCTCTTAAAAGTCTGGGATATGAAAATAATAGCCCCAGAATCTAAGACTTTGCAAAGTTTAATTCAAGGAACTATTGAGAGGAACTCCAATTCAATCTCCAAGCACTTGCTTACTCAGGAATCAGTAGAACAATTTAAATATATATATTGAAAAAACTCACATCAAATGAAAAGGAGAACTAGAATATAGAATATAGATTATAGATTATGTCCAACATAAGAAGTTAGATCATTTTTTAAGATTTGGCACATTGGGAAAATTTAACACACAGGTTCAATAATTCAGTACCTTTCCAGATGCATTTTCGAATGCTGTTACCATTTCCAAAACTGATGTTCCTTTTCCAGTTCCAAGGTTGTAAACTGGATTCCGAATTTTGTGATCCCATTCCATTTTGACTCTAAATTTAGAAGTTCTAGAACCTTCTGTGTTTGACGCAGCTGTAAATCTGCTTGCAAGACTTAACCCGAGTTTATTTGCACTTTCATCCTATTTCTGACTGCAGGTTTCTCACGGAGCCAACTAGGCATAACAACAATTAATTACATTTATCATATAGGCAACAATTGTTCAGACAAGTTGGCACTAGAGAAGTAGGGCTCACTTTGTTTCACGTAGCAGCTCCTTGTATCCTTAATCATTACTTATCTGATGATATGCTGTTACAGTAGTGAGGAGTTTGTTACCCGGCACTTCAAAATGCTAAATTTGGTTTACAAATGTTTCCTAAAAAAAAGAAAAAAAGAAAGACAACTCACCATATGGAAGCAACACTCTTACACTTTCTGCAAGTGCAACAACATTATTGTTCTAGAATTGAGGTTTCACAACTCTATTTTTCATCAAGGAAGCCAAGAGAACGACAAAGAAATGGGGCATCAGATACTCTCAGGTGTCTTACTGAAATGGTATGAAGATGGTTTCTGTACTGGTGTAGCAAAATATGATGGCAATTGGGACCCAGGAGGATAATCTAGAGCAGCAGGAAATTGTGACATCAATCCAGGGGATGAGAATGGGATTTGGTTAGGATATCCATAAAACGAATCAAACCTGGTAGACAGTTTTGAACCCATGTTGCCTGAGACAATAGACGGAAAGATATTTACGGCCTCACTTGCAGGAAGGTGATTACCGTGTCCCAATGAGATAGAGGATGAAGGCAAACCCAAGTCCTCACTATTTGGAAAGGTAGCTCGAGCTTCAGGCAGCATCGATCCAGGTGGGCCAGGCCAAGCTGTCTGGCTTGGGACACTAGCAGAAATAGCTGCAGGTCCAGGGTATATTGGAAGTTGGCTCATGATTGACAATCCTGCAGGTGGTGGCCGGCCAGCCACCCTTACTGCTAGCATCTTCCCTTCCATTTTGTGCCCATTCATATGTGTCACAGCCATGGCAGCATCAATGGGACTTTCAAATGTAACAAAGCCGTAGCCTTTACTGAAACCTGTGCTTCGATCTTTAATTACTTTCACTTCTGTGATTTTACCGAATGAACAAAACAGCTCTCTCAACTGGTTGTCATCAACAGCTTGAGGAAGATAGCCAACATAGAGGCTTGCATCATTGATTTCTTTGTTGGGTTTCCTTTTTGTGTTAGGAACTGAACCACTGCCACGCCCAGTACTGCACAAAGTGGTGCCAACCTGAGGTGATGTAATAAAGGGACAACTAGATGTGGGATGGCAAAAGCTTCCACACATTGCACAGGTGATCTCCATTTTAAAAGTAGATTGCCGGAGGGGACAGGCATAGTGCTTGTGTCCTTCCTCCTTGCACACACTGCAGATGTTCTCATTTCTATAAGTTCCTTTCAGTTTTGCAAGCTCCACCAGTTGGGCTTGCTTGTGTCCATTCATTCCTTCATCTATTGGGATTAGCAATTTCTCAACCATTCTTACAGCTGCATCCAGAGACTTCTGGTTATCTGCCTCTATACAAACATGCAAGTCTTCATCATCAGAAGAGGTATCAGGTTTCTGTGGTGCTTTCACAGAGCCTTTACCCCGCAGTAGAATCCTAGCTCCAGTTTCCTTCTCCATTCTCTTTTGTGTGTTTCCCCTTGGGCCAATTATAAGGCCAACAAAATTATATGTAGGATATTCTTTCACCGGTATGTATAGTTTTTTAAAGAGCTTTGGTGGCTTGTAATCAGGAAGAATTTTGAAGGTTGGATTCTTCTTAACCAACTTTGAAATGATTTTTTGGCGTTGTTTTATTAGTTTCTCACGAACCCTCATCTGCCTTGTATTTATTCTTATACCAAGATTGTTGTACACTGGTTGGGGAGAAGGAGATCTTTCCTCCTCAGGCCTGTCATCATGAAAATCTGAACTAAGCAGCTTACTGTTTAGCTCTGACAGGCTTAATTTCAACTTCTGAATCTTTGGATCTAACCCAGATCCAACAAAGCCTTCCATGAAGTCTGGAAGTTGAATTGGGCCAAGCAAGTGAAATTAAACTGGACAAGCATATTAATGAATACTGATAAAATGTCAACCTAATTTTAATTAAATTAATTTTAAAACTTAGCAAATTATAGTTACAGTTGCAGTAAGATCATTTTTACTTAGAAAAAAAAAGAGAGGCTTTAGAGTGGTAGGTTTCAAGATCATCAGCCCTTTTTATTTCCTAATTGAATATGTTCTAGCTTCTACATTTAGCTAATATCTAATTCTAGCATCAAATGCTAAACAAATTCACAAACAGCCTCAATAATGCTGAAGCAGAGGACCATCAACCCAGCAACCTTTAATTCAAACCCTCATTCATATCAATTAATAAAGGTAAACCATCAATACCTTTGCCAGCTAACTATTATCGTGTATAACCAATAAGCGGATTGCTCTAGGACCAGTGATCATCACCTTCAATTTAAGAGATTGAAAGTAAACCAAACAAATTAAGAGAACCCAAATGTGAAAGTACCTCAGAAATCCAGAGAATGAAGCAGAAGGTGTTCGCGAAGAGGAGCGCCGGTTCAGAATCATGGGATCCAATGGATATAGGAGGGAGGGAGAGAGAGAGAGACGGAAAGAGAAGGTTAGAATGAAGCAGAAGGTGTTCGCGAAGAGGAGCGCATGTTCAGAAACGTGGGATCCAAAGGATATATGAGGGAGGGAGAGAGGGGGAAAGAGAAGGTCAGAGGCTAATTTATCAAACCTCGTCGCAGGCACCCAGATTTCACAGCCGCCTCCTCTCATCGTCGCAGACCCCGTCAGTCCGCCGTCAACCTCCGTTCGCCATTGCCCTCTGATTTTGCTCGACCTTCACCGCTCTCTGTTTGACGGGTTAGGGTTCAAGACACTGAGAGAGAGTGGAAAAGAGGGGTAAAAGCCTTTGTATGTATCATAGAAATAATAAATAAATAAAATTAAACATAAAATAAAATTAGGTGGTAAATATTCCCCTCAAAATTTTTTGATCACACTTATTTAGAAGTTGTGATTAAAAAAATTATATATAATCACACTTATTTAGAAGGTGAGATTAAAATATATATATATAATCACACTTAATTAAAAAGTGACATAAAAAATAAATATTATCACGCTCAATCAAATAAAGTGTGATTAAAATATCAATCTAATTTTTTTTATCACACTTCTAATAAAAGTGAGATATTTTTATTTTGTTAAAGTGTGATCTTTAACTATTTTTGTAGTAGTGATTCCTCATTAATAATTTTTTAATTGTCGAAAAAAAAAATTCTCACCAAAACTTTCAAAATTTTTGGTGAGGAAACTTATTTTTTTTCTCACCTAAAAGTAAGTGTTTATTGACGGAAATAAATTTCGTCACCTATTATTTTTCTTTTTTTATTATACGTGACAAAATTTATAATTCCTCATGGATTATTCTTATTTAGTGACGAAATTTGTTTTCTTCACTAATTTTCGTCACCATACCAAAACAGAGAATAAGAGAAAGAGACACCAGAAAAAGAGCAACGAGAAACCATGTACCAAATCATCGAGCAAAGAAGATGTGGCGGTTACCGGCAAGGCTACTACTGGCGATGATGATCGGCAAGACTAATAGAGGCAACGATGGCAATCGGCGTAGTTGAGGAGCAAGAGGTAAGAAAAATTAATATCCTATTTTGAGAGAGAGAGAGAGAGAGATGATAAACAGAGAGAGGGTAAAAAAAATTAATACCCTATTTTTTGTTTATTGCCGCTCAATATATCAAAAAATTTCCACCAAAATTGGTGACAATATTATTTCCTCACCAAAAGATATCAGAAATATTAAAACGTTTTGGTGACGAAAATATATTCATCACAAATAATTTTATAATTAGTGACAAATTTTTTTGTCACCAAAAGTCTCAAAATTTTGGCGCCACCCAAAAAAAATAGCGGGAAAATTTTTGGTGACGAAACTCAATTTTTCCTCACTTAAAATGAAGTATTTATTGACGAAAATAAATTTTGTCACCTATCATTTTTATTATATGTGACAAAATTTATAAATTCCTCACGAATTATTTTCATTTAGTGACGAATTTTATTTTCTTCACTAGTTTTCGTCACCATAGACTACTTTTGTTGTAGTGTGAGATATGTGCCATGTGATTTAATTGGTTCATACCTGTCCCAATTGAGAAACTATCTGTTGTGAGCTCGGCTTTGAAACTGAAATTAACAGCTTTAATGGATTCAGAAATCGAAATTGAGTACATGGATATGCTAATGGGAATTTTTAGAGCCATTTGAGAAGTTTAATTGAAAATTTATTTCGTCTGATTCGTTAAGGTGTGTTTAGGTGGTTTAATTGCAACTTTACACTGCAAATTAAAGGCCGTAGAGGTTTCAGAAACTAAAACGGAATACATAATTATAATCAGCATGATTTTTAATACTTAATGTGAAGTTTTACAAAAATCTGATTCAGAATGAATTAATTTGATTATATTAATTTAATTATGTGTTTAAATTTAATTGTGATATTGTGAACATATGTGTATGGATATAAAAAAAATTATTTGGAATGAATTGGTTACATGAATAAATTATTTGAAATTTTTAGAACACTATGATAAGTTTAATTGAAATTGATTCAGTTTACTGAAACTGTCTGTGATCAGATTAAGCCTTAATTGGAACTATTCTGAGTAAATTGAGTTTTATGATAACTTTGATTAATTGTATTTGCCCAAGATGTTGCATGATTAGTATCTAATTCAGCTCTATTCATGATTTAAAATTTGATGAAGTGTAGTAAATGTTTGAGCATTTTGTGATGGTGAGTGTAGGAGATTAAATTTTTGTGGGTGTACTGAGATTTGGGTGTGTGTGTGTAGAGAAATCAGTGCGGGTGTGTATATGTGACTACATGTGTTGTGCAATTCAAATGTGAGGGTGTGTGTTTAATCTGATGCTCAGAATGAATGTTTTATTCCTTTGGTTCATTGTGTTGAGCATAGAGAGAGAGAGAGAGAGAGGGAGAGAGAACTAATCTAAAGAGAGAGAGCTCAAGATTTTGAAGAGGAAGAAGAAGAGAGCTAGGAAGAGACCATCCTATAATCTGAAATCAAGCTTTAGGTAAGTGTTTATTTATGAATTAGAATCATCATATCTTTGGATTTAAGGAAATTATGAAGTTAACGGAAGAGAGAGCTCATAGATGATGAATATGGGAGATTAGCTCACATGCATGAACATTTATGTGTTCCAGTGTTGAATTCATGGAAGTAATTTGGTCTCTTGCATATATTTTGTCATAGAAAGTCAAGACATAGTTGAATTCTTTCATGCATGGCATGAACTCATGACATTCCTGTTATATCATGTAATTTCTTACATGAACTTCATGGATTCTAAAGTTTTCAAAAAGATTTCTTGAGCTATGAGATTGTAGAACATCATTTCTTGCATGGTTTTATAAGAAATCTTCAAAGTGTTGGACTTAGAACTCATACATGTATGATTTCATAATTTTCTACTTTAAACCCAAAAGTTTGATCCTTGCATGGCTGATTTCATGAAGATTTATTTATATACTTTGCAATTCATGCATGGGTTTTCAAGATTGAAGGAAAATGTCATGGATTTTGAGGATTTAAATTTAATCAAGAAGAAATCTTACATGTTTAGAGTTGTTCTTGAATAATTAAGGAAGAAATTGTAGACTTTGAGCTTATCTCTCCATATGCATGGCATTGATTCATGAAAATATGTTCATAAAATTGTTTTTCTTACATGGTTCTTGAAATTGGAAGAATAAACTTCATGAATTTCAAAGATTGGAACTCTAAGGTGCATGGATTATGTTTTTGCCTTGAAATTCAAGGGTTTGATCTTTTTGCATGGAATTAAGCTTCAATTTAAAGTTTTGATTTTATTTTAAGTTAGGTCACGAGTCGGAGACCTATCTTTACAATAATTCATATGAACATATCTTTACAATAATGTTCATATCAATTATGTTCCTGAGAGGGTAATTTGTACCTAAATTGGGCCGAGCTGGGAAAATGGGCCGTTCTTTGGGCCACAGTAAGAAGGGCTGGATGAAAAGGGGCATGTAGTTAGCCCGGTCCTGGTAAGCCTTATTGTTATCCCGGTCCGAAAGAACCTTGAAGTTAATCCGGTCTAGAGAAGCTTTGCATATAGCCCGGTCACTGTACTCAAAGTTAGCCCAGTCGTGGCTTATCGTGGTTATCTCGGTCAGAACCTTGCTGTTTGTTAGCTCGGTCTGATTACACCATGGTTTGTACATGAGAAACCGAGGTAAGAGCAGTGAAAGGAAGAACCAAACTAGCTATAGTTCGATCTAGTCTGCGACTTAGCATAGCCATGCTTACCTCGGTCGTATTGGAATCCGACCATGGTAAAACCATCTCACTTAGTTTAAGCAGTGAGGGGGGTGTTGAAGGATAAGCATTATCTTTCAGGAGCATGACTCCTAGGAGGACTCTACATGGATGAGTAAAAGTTCTACTAGGATTGTGCCACGCAAAACCTATAAAAGCTCATAACATCACCTATGGAGAGGTAACACAGCTTTGATTCTTGAATACACAGAGCTTTGTCTATTTGTCTATTTTTGCTGACTTAGGCATCGGAGAGGTATCCGGCACACACCCGCCGGCTAGCTCACGTTTGTGTTTTCAGGGAGTAAAGCGACGACGTATGGAGGAGCACAGACTTGATCAACAGGATTATACGAGAAGGTTTATTTCTTTCCCGTACAATTGGAGCCGTCTGTGGGAATACCAGACAAAGAACAAAACCTCTTGATCAAGTTTCCCTCGCTAATTGAATGGCGCACAACGAAGATTTGCCGCAGTCCGCCATTGATGGACAAACCCCAGAGGGGGGTGGGAGGTGCGAAGGATTGTCCTCTATCCCTTCTATGGCGGACTTAGAGCCCTAGCGACAGAATCCCCGAAGGGATGCAAGGGGGAGGCGGAACAACAGCCCCTGTCGCTCTCGCTCACCAAGTCCTGAAA